GTTAGAATAGGAAGCCGTTGGTCTAGATATCCCTTCCACAATTGAGAAGGTGAAAGAAGCCGTGTGGAATTGTAAAAGTAGCAAGGTCCCGGGTACAGATGGTTTCAACTTCCTCTTCTCTAAAAAAGTTGGCATATTATCAAGGATGATGTTATGGCGTTTCAGGGGAAGTTTTATAGGACTGGAAGGCTTGAGAAAGGTATTAATTCATCCTTTATAGCTTTAATTCCTGCATTGACAATCCGATGCTACCTAGTGATTATAGGCCCATTAGCTTGATAAACTCACTATATAAAATTTTGGCAAAAATTTTGTCTAAGAGATTAAATTCAATGATATGTAACTTAATAAGCGACGCATAGAGCACTTTCATTTCAAGAAGGCAACTCCTTAATGGTGTTTTGTTAGCAAATGAGGTGATCGATTCACTTAAAAAAAAAAAAAAAAGAGAAGGGTGTGAGGTGGTGGATTCATTTTGAAATTAGATTTTGGAAAAGCTTACAATTCCTTGGGCTTTGTTGGATCATGTTATGGGGATGATGGGTTTCCATAGGATTTGGAGAAAATGGATATGGGAGTGCATCTCTACAACTTAAGTGGCAGTTTTAGTCAATGGATCCATGACTCATCAGTTTCATATGGAACGAGGGTTACGACAAGGTGATCCACTATCCCCTTCCGATTCATTCTTGTGACAGAAGCTCTACATCAACTATTGAAGAAAGTAGAGAATATGGGCTTTGGCTACCTTCTCTAGTTCTCATTGCAATTTGCCGATGATACCATCTTGTTTTTAAGAACTGATAGGGAGGTAGTGGAAAATGTCAAGAAGATACTAATATGTTTTGAACTAGCAACGTGTTTAAGATTGAATTTTCAAAAATCTTCTATGTGTTCTGTTAGAGCTGAGGAGAATGTTGTTGAGGAGTTGGCACGGGCTTTCGGTTGTGCGAAAGGTAAACTGCCGTTTAAAATGTCTGGGTATTCCCATGGGCGCAATCCCAAAAACACTAGCTACGTGAGAACCAATAATTTAACTTTTCCAGCAAAATCGACGCTATGAAAAGGAAATTTCAATCTTTTAGGAGGAGAGTGACATTTATTAACTCTATTCTATGTTGCCTTCCAATATTTTATGTCAGTTTTCAAAACCCCTAAAAAAGTCATTTGGAAAATCGATCAAATAAAAAGGAACTTCTTGTGGGGAAGGTGCGACATGGAGAGAAAGCTGGCAAAGGTTAAATGGTCCACTGTGTGCCAAAGAACAACTTCAGGTGGTCTTGGGATCAATGAGTTACAAATTAAAAATCAAGCCCTTTTGGCCAAATGGTGCTGGAGATAAGCTAAAGAAAAACAATCATAGTCGAGGAGGGTGGTGGTTGCAAAATATGGAGAAAATATCCAACAGTGTCTGCCTTGTGACTTACATATCGAGAAAATGTCAATAGTGTAGTGCGGCGTGGTTGGGCTTTCAACTAAGCAGGGAGAAAAAAAATTGGTCGGTACTGACTCTTGTAGATGGTTGGTGAGGAATGGACACGATATTCTATTTTAGCTTGATCGTTGGTGCTATAAAAGACCACTTAAAGATGTATATCCTCACCAATTCTCTCTTGCTAAGGATAAATTAGCAAAGTTGGTTCCACGAACGATTCTTTTCTTTATCAAGATTGGCTAGGTTTGTTCAAGAGAACTATGTTTGAGCGGGAGTTAGTGTCGTTGACTGGTATGTGTAGCATGCTACTAAACTATCACCTATATCTCCTAAAAACTGATAAAGTTATTTGGGAACATGACACTCATGGTCTATTCTCAGTTAAAAAGGCCTCAAATCTATTACACTCCTCTCTTGATACTATACCTTTTAAATTAAGCCGTGGCCTTTTATAATTCCACCAAAGGTGCAGTGTTTAATATGGTTGGTGACACTAATAGACTTCCCTCAAAGTCTTTTCTTATTCTCAGAGGTCTTCCATTGTCCCACCTTGATAGTTTGTGTCTATGGTGTAAAAGGGCCCTGGAAAGCATGGATCATGTTTTGTTTAATTCTGCATGTCTATAAAATCTGGGGATATTTCTTAAGATGGTGGAATCTGAGCTAGTGTCAGCCAAACTCATTGAGATCTTTTATGTTAAATTGCTTGGATCCTTTGTTCACTGGTACTTTGAAATCGTGATGGTTCGCTTCCTTTTCAGTAGCTTTGTGGTCTTTATGGTTAGCGAGGAATGAGCTGGTCTTCAAGCATAAGAGTGTGTCGGCCGACAATATTTTCTGTCCGATAAAATTGAGAGCCCTATGCTGGATCAAGGCTATTACAGATGATGATTATCCAATGAATAGAATCGGTGTGGTGGTCAAACTCCCGTGCTGGCATGTCAGCCATTAATGGGAAAGGCAGAAGCGAATTCATTGAATGGTTACCTCTTATGGTAAGATCTCTAATGTTTAATGTTCATGGTTTTGCAAAAGGGATACCCGATCCTGATATGTGTGGTAGGGTGCTTCAAAATGATGAAGGAATAGCCGTGGTCATGTTTTCAGGACCAGTCGATATTCAAGATCCAAACATGGCAGAACTACTGGCGATTAAAATGACTTTGGAGGTTTTTAAACAAACTGAGTGGAAGCACAAAGCAAACTTAATTATTGAGTCTGATTCAAATATTTCAGCCAGATGGGTGCTCGATGAGACTGCACGTCCACGGAGACTTTGGGATACCTTCTCGGAGATCGATTCTTTGGTTAAAGAGCTAGTAAATGTTAAATTCGTAAATATTTTTTGAGAAGCAAATGGCATGGCAAATGCACTAGCAAAAGTAGGGGTTGAGCAAGTAGACATGTTCATTGCCTCGTGGTAAATGATTTTTTGCGTGGTTAGATTGTCGTCTGTTTTCTATATTCTGGCGCATTTTGGTGTTCTGTTTTGTAAGGGAAGTAAAGCTTGCTTCATACCTGACTTTCAAAAAAATAATAAAAAATTTAACTTAGCAAAAAAAAAAAAAAAACCCTTAGATACAATCTCTTTAAATAGAAATGGTTAGAACACATTTGCACAGTTAGATTATATCGAAAAAGTTTTTGAAATCTCTCATTTTCCCCCGTTCACTCTCAAATAGAAAGCAAGTGTCTTTGACATTGTTTTATTATAGGAAACTTTGTTCAAAGAAAGGTACTTTTTTTTCACATCAAAGGTTTGATTTCACAAGTGAAAAATTATTTCAAATAAGGTTTCATTGTATCCTAGCGGCTCCTTTGCATACCATAAATAGTAAGGACGAAATAAATCTTAAGAAAAGTGGCTTAGAAGGCAAGACTACAAACCGGTGCTAAAGTAGAAGTTCTTCACCAACTACAACAGGTTCTTTGTATTAGCAAGCTTCGTCATCTACAAAAGATATATATATGAGTTGAAAGAGTTTCTTAGAGATTTTGAAAAAGATGTTCAAAAGTTTTGAAGAGATATTCGGAAGTCTTAGAAATGCATCTGGAGATTTAAAACTGATACATGGAGGTTTTGGAAATTATCGGAGATATTGAAACATGATACATGGAAGCTTTGGAGAATGATACCCGGAGGTTTTAATTGGAGAATGATACTCAAAGATTTGAAAAGAACAATGGGTTTTAAGAAAGATTACTCAAACAATTTGAAAGAGATATCCAAAAGCTTTAAAAAGAATCGTAAAGGTTTTAAAGATTGTACTAAGAGATCTAAAATTATATGTAGAGATTTTTAGATATTATAATTAAAAGTTTTATAAATCATGGAGGTCTTTAAAGAGTATATTGAAAGGCTTTATAAATCATTTGCATCTTTGAAAAAAGTTCTTTTACGAGGCTCTACAACATTAAAACGAAAAGTATAATATTTTTCTTTTCATGCACCAACTTAGTTGATCTTAAATCTCATCTCACTACTAGTTAGATTGGGCTTATATCTTTTTATGTCAATTTCATTGGACTTAAAAATTTTCTCATCTTGGGCCAGTAAAATTAATCAAAATTTGTCTAAATTAAACCCTAGACAAAAAATAGAATGTCTATATTGATTTTTTTATTTTTTTCAATTAAATTATAAAAATAATTTTCATTAATGTATTAAAATTTTGTGCTAAGTCAAGTTTGAGACTAAAAAATTATTTCTTAGGTTCAGCTCGAGTCTAACTAAGGTTATAAATTTAGGAAGTAGTCATATTTATAGATAACTCTATTATGAAAATTATCTTGCCTTAGGAAGTTATTTTGTATTGGTCAATCAATTTTTTGGCAAACAAATATTAAAAAATTTAGTAGTCATTTTATGAAAGTCGAATTATGTGAAAAAAAAAAAAGAATCCAATCGAAAATAGAATGAATGACAATTTATGCAAAAGATTGAATGGTATAATTTTTGGCAAAAAAAATTGGCAAATAAAATAATCAATTTAAATATAAAATGAATGATTATTTATGCAAAAGATTTAATGGTGCAATTTGATAAATGAGCGCATTGTCATTTTTTTTTTTTTTTTGCATTTTAACTGTACTCTTAAATTTTAATTTTTTTTTGTTTTGTAAAATGATATCTATTCTTTATATTGAATCTTAGTTAAAATTAGAATTTTATTAAAAAAAATAGATTCAATTAGATAATTAATTATAATTATATAAAAATTATTGACGATGACTTCTTACATATCGATGATCAGATTTTCAGACTTAAGTGTTATAATATTTATTTTTCAATAGCAAATGAAACAATTTTACAATATAAATATATTAGTATTCAAAATTATTGATATAAAAAATTTTGCAAGTATTCTTTCAATCTTATAAACTTTTAACTAATCTTAAAACACTTCAAAAAATGTAAATGATAAATATAAAGGTATTACAAATTTAAAATCCTATTAATTAATCATTCAGTCTCCAAATGACATATAAATATGTGAAAAGTTTCAAATCTTTAATGGTATCCAAAGCCAAATCCCATAAAAAATATTCCGTTAAATTACTACATTACTATGAAAGTAGTTCCTTTTTCCTCGAAAGAAATATGACAAGAGCCATTTAGCTCTAGACCACATTGTGGGATTTCAATCCATAAAATTCACCACTATTTCCCATAGCTCCAAAAATCCATCTCTCCTCGTAGTGAAAGCTGGCTGATTGGGTGCACAGAGGTAGCATTTGTACTGTCCTCAAACCTCACCGCTTTGGAAGAATCTTCGTGTCCTATATGGGATGTGACCAGCCGATCAAGCATACTCCATTCATTCATGCCCTCATCTCTTCCAGCAACGCCCATTTGTTGAGTTGGTTCACACGTGCCAACCTCTAGACCTGTCTCACAAGCTTGGTACCTAACACTTTCGCTGCCACTCTCACAATCCCTAGGGTTTGACATGAGTTGTTTAATCATGATGGGAGAGTCCGAGGTAAGAGCCATGGGGTACTCATAGCAGATAGGCTTGTGGGTTTGAAGTAGAGTTTGGGGTTGGAAAAGAGAATATTGAGGCGTTGGGGTTGGCATGTGAGGATAGTGAAGGGCTAGTTCAGCCTTGTTTAATTCAAAGTTTTGTTGAGTGTTGTGGCTGTGTTGGTGACGCACTACGTATCGGTCGCTTCTGTGGATGAAAGAGCGAGCTTGAGGTTGGCTGCTGCTTGAAGTGGTATTGACATTGAGCTGTTGATGATCTGATGAGTTAATGCTTGACCCTCCATCATCACCAACCTTGAAGAGATTCTTCTTCTTGAACACCCTGCATACCACCCATCCATCTTCCTACACATGCATGCAAATTCATATGATATATTGCATTACTAGTACATTTGTTATATGAGAGATAGGAGAGGTACTAACACTGTGGTTTCCTTGTGGATCGTCGCCATCTTCAAGCCTGTATTCATGCATGATCCAATCAGTCTTTTGGCCATGGGGAGCTCTTCCTCTGTAGAAAACAAGGGTTTTCCTCATACCGATCTTCTTGTAGGTGTTCCTGATGCACTTGTCCCTCCCTGTTGCTTTCCAAAATCCTGCATTAGTTGCCCTATTCGTCCTTGACCCTGTTGGATACTTCCTGTCCTTGTGACTGAAAAAATACCACTCGTTTTGTGGAGTCGATCCAATCTTGCATCTCTCTACAGATAGACAATATATGCAAATAAAGCTTAAACAACAGCAGCGATCAAATTCATCAGAATTAATTAGTTATGCAATTAAAGTCCTGCACTTGTTTACAGCACTGGTTTTGCTTCATTTTAACTACCTTAATTGTTCTAGCAACTTAAGAATTATTTAGAATCATTGCATTAATTGTAGACGATCCTCGATGTCGCAACCCCGTGCAGAAGACGGAACAATAATGAGGTCAATTATTTCCACTTTCCAGGGATAAATGAATGTGTTAGAAATATGTTTTTGTATTTATCCAAAATATAAAATTTCCATCTATCAGGCGAAATACATTAGTGTGACTTAGAGTTCAAAAGTGAATCTGAGTAGTCTTCGTTTTTGGCCATTAATCTGATGATCTAATTGGCATGATTTCCAAGAATTCCAGCTGGTCAAACCAGTATCAGTCTACAATATTGCAGTACTTTGAATGCAAAATTGCAGGGAAGGAAAATTGGAAACTAAAAAATATATATATTATCTAGCCACCAATTTTATAGGAAGAAAAATTATGTATTGCCAGTGATCTGTTGACAATTGTGTTTAAGCACAAACAAAGACAGGCTAGAAGTTTTGCTTGAGATACTATTCAAGCAAAAATATAAAAAAAAAATCAAAATCAAATTCTAAGGAAGAAAATGTCTTCCATATATTAATTTTTCAATGATTAAATCTTCTTGGATTCATGTTTTACATGTCATTATAAATCAGATTACTGCTATAAATCGACAAAGACGACCTCGTGGATTTTTCTTTTTAAATCCAAATATTTACGGCAATTTTTGCATTTTTTAGACCAAGAGAACTAATTAAGAAAACCATAGTTGACAACATAATTGTTTCGTTTATTTAGCTAATAAACGTGACCTATAACGAAAGTATTAAGAATGGTAATTAGTTTCCTACTACAGGATCTTGCGAGCCAAATGGATTATTGATAGAATATTAAGCTTTTAATTTCGATGATCATGATTCAAGTTTAGACAACCTCAAATACCGAATAAAATATATGTAAAATTTCTTACTACAGGAGGGTTTGAAAACCATTAAAACTGAAATCGGTAAGTAGGGTAATCAAAGAATACACTTTGCCAGGAAATCTAAACTACCGTTACCACAATTTGATTTGTTGAGAATCAAGCATTCACGAGGCACTTAGGCGATGAAAATGAATTTACCTTGCAACTCCCAAGGTTCCATCTTGTTCAAGTCCACTTCTCTAATGACCTCCATGTCAAACTTCTCAAAGGACAATTTTTTCTTCAAGTAGTAGTGGAGGAGCTCTTCGTCCGTTGGATGGAACCGGAACCCAGGAGGCACTCCGCCATTGGACGAACCCATCCAGCTCTAAGCAAAATATTATCGATATTCAACCAAGAAGCAGTCCACAAACTTTTTTTTTTCCTGAAACTCTCTGTAAACGTGTATATATATGTATATGCTGAGAAATGAAAGCAATCATTTTCTACGAAGAGGGGAATAAATATCAAAAGAGGTGTGTCAACAGGGGGGTGTAAAGGGAATTGTGTGAGAAAGTTGACGGCCGGTGACTACGCCGTCGGGAAGGGTTAAAGCTCGCGTAAGAAGCAAGTCTAAGTAATGAGACTATGATTAGTATTTTTTAATATATGGTTTAAACTCAAGGGCTCGTTGCTCTACATGCCTTGAAGGAGCGTGCTTTCACCATCCAGTAACTCTACATTCAAATATTTGACATTTATAGAGATTCCAAAAGGCATATATATATATATATATATAGAAGAGATTCACTTATACTAATTCTTAGAATTTCTTAAACCTTTGGATAGAAAATCTTTCAGTACTAACAAAACTCAATAAAATTTCCCATGGCAAAAGAAAAATGTGAGCATACGTACTACTGTCTACCATACAGAAATGCATGTAAATATCAATGGTGGTCGAACTGAGGCAAATTATTACAGAATGATCCACGCGCTGCACAAACACTTGGGACAAGGACTACAGTCTACCAAGTTAATTAATTCAAAACGAAAATAAAATGGCAACAAACGATCCCGAGAAAATAAAATTGGCAAAAAAAATAGGGGTTATTTGATTGTTCCTAAAGCAAGGATTGGAAAAACAGCTACTAAAACTTCTTGGGAATTTCGCATTGGATTGGACGGCCTTAATTTTATATACCTAAAATTGTTAGAATTCATATTAGTTCTGTTAATATAAGTGGTTTGGTCCAAATAACTACAGTTGGAGACGCAGTCGCCACAGCTCGAGATTGCACATGCGGATACGACTTGAGAGAGCTTTCTGATTAATTCACTTGATTCAATTGCACGCTTCCTTTTCTGCTTTTGTTATCAATTTACCTTTTTTTTATCATTTTTAATATAGATTTTAATCCCTGTTACGCTTTCTCAGGATGATGTTTCAATATGGTTGAATATCCTGGTTACCAGTTGTTCCATGCTGGATTAATAATGGAAAATAAGGATCAATGAATACTTCAATGCATGGTCGTAATTGTGTCATCAACTTCCTCAGTCTATGCATGTACAGAGGGGGGTGGTTATACAAGTCAAAGGCGGCTTTGGCCCCCCTAAAATTTTAAAAACCTCCGGTACCGGAAGGCAGAAGTAGATGGTTATAAAAGCTAAAAGGGGCCTTTGGCCTTTCTAAAATTTTAAGAATCCTCGTATTTGTTAAGGGAATTGAATAATTTATTCTCATTGTGAATGTATTATGCCAAGCTAACTCAATTAAACCAACACATAATACTCTAAATTCCAAATAGCATATATTCAGAAGACCAATAAAAGGTATTGTAAAGATTTTTTTTTTGGACAGTTAAAATCCATTAAACTTCTAAGAGTCACACCAAAAATTTTGTTACCTTAGATTTGCTTTAGTGTTTATGGCCAAGGGTGCTTACCTACTTTATGTATTATAGTTTAAGGGGATTAAAATCATATTATCATTTATTTATTATATCAATAAATTATTACTTACAAACCTTTAAAATTAAGAGATCTATTAGAAGAATTATGAAGTGTATATCATCTATAATCATAATCATGTCAATTTAACAAAAGTCAAATTGACTTTCTATTTTTTTCATGAAACTCCAAATCTACAATCAAGTATCAAACATATTTTTCTTTTCTTCTTAATCAACTGCAACAGGCCATATAATCCTCCCTTTTAATTTTATTTTAGATCTTTTTCTTCAGCAGTAATGCAAATTTTTTTTTTTTGACTCAAAAATTAGATTTGAATAACTTTCTAAAATGTTTAAAAATTATTAACTTCTAATCTATAAGTTTTAATTTTATTCTTTTAATGGTATATTTTATTTTTCTTGTTTTGATAAAAAAAATATGTTATTTGGCAATTTGTTTATTTGTGTTTTTTTAAAATCATTCACAATTTTAAGTAGAATTATTTATTGATAATAATAAAATTATCTCAAAAGTAAAATTATTTATTTGATGTATTATGAATTGATAAAATTTATAATTTTATAAGTTATTTTTAGTATATTTCTTCTATATATTTATATTAATAATATATATAGTAGAATACATACGAAGAAAAAAATAAAATTTTGTATAACATTAATTGCTCTCTTCAAAATTAAATATTAAGATTCACCATTATGCATGTATGTATCCCTTGAGCTTAGTTGCCCAAGCTCACGGGTTTGATCTTATTCGAGCCTTGCTTGGATATAAGTGTTTAGCCTCAAGTCTAACCCAATTGGAGTCTTTTGAACGAAGGTAGTATCCAATGGATCCAAATCTTTTAATACGTTTACATATGCATTATTTAATTCTTAATATGAATTAATTTAAAATTATATTCCTAATAGAATTCCATGTAAGTGTTATTAGAAATCTATTTTCAATATAGTTAAGATATGTGTTATAAAAATATGCACATATACTATGGAAATTAATAAAAAAATATAAATATTAATCCCAGTTACTCTAATAAAAATTTCTCTCCTAACTCTTACATAATCCTCGGGTATCCTATTTTTTCTCCACTACAAAATCATCTAAAAGTCGTCCCAATTCATCCTTGTCTCAAGGAATCGACCTCCCACCTATAGATAAAGATGTTGCCAATCGACATTCATGTCCTAAGATTCATTCAAATTTTAAAACGTCCCCAAGTACATCCTTATGCCCGGGAATTGAATCAACCGGTCAACCTTGAAACAATTTCTTTGGAAAATTAATTATACCTAATGATTAATTTGAGTGAAAATTTTGATGCTTATAAATGCCCAAAAAGAAAAAAGTTTGATAAAGTAAATCAATCTTAGATTTAGTTTTGCAGACTTGGTCATATCAATGAAACTAGAATCACAAAATTACATTAAAAAAGATATCTTGATCATTTTGACTATGAATCATATGAAATTTTTAAATCATGTTTGCTTGATAAAATTACCAAATATGACAAATTTGGAGCTAAGTTATATAAATGCAAGTTTGTAGATATCCAAAAAGTTGGAGACCATTTCTACAATCCTGTCAAGCAAAAGTGTTTGTCTCAAAGGATACCATATTTTTTAAAAGAAAAGTTCATACTAAAAAAGGGAAGTGGGAATAAAATAGAACTTGAAAAGTTTAAGAACGCAAAATAAAACATTTTGATGGAACAATAGCTAGAGACTAAGGCATTGATGCACAATTGAAAGCTTAAAGCACACAAGAACTTCGAAAGTTGAGTAGGATATATTAAGCTCCAAAGAATTAAAGACTTCTTTTTTATAAAAATGTATATCTCATAATGATAAGCCTACCCCCTATAAGGAAACAATGTTGAATATTAATTCCAACAAATGGCTTAAGGCAATAAAATCAAAAATAGACTCCATCTAAAAAAGCCAAGTACACGCTTTGGTGATCCACCAAAAGGAAAAATATCTTTAGGGTACAAGTTTTGAAATGAAAGACCAATTTGGATGAAAGTGTACAAATGTACATAGCAATGCTAGTAGCTAAAGGTTACAAATTAATGACTTTGAAGACACCATTTATCTTATAGCTATATTAAAGTCCATTGGGATTTTGCTTGCTATTTTTGCATACAATGACTATGGAATTTGGCAAAAGATGTTGAAAGTACATTCCGTAAGGAGAAATTCTGCAAAGATGTGTACATGCTATAACCCAAAAGTTTTACATCCAAATAGAATGCCAAATGTATACAAGTTGCAAAAGTCCATCTATGAACTTGAACAAGCATTAAGGAGTCGAAACATAATTTTTATAAGACAATCAAAAGAATTTGATTTCATAAAAAATAATGATGAACTTTGTGTGTACAAAAAGGTTCATGGGAGTATAATGAATTTGATTATGCTTTACATGAATGACATACAGCTCATAAGAAATGAAGTACCTATGCTACAATCTATAAAGATTTAGCTATTCAAAGAAAATTTCCATTATGGATATAAGAAAGGCAAGGCATATAATAGGATAAAGGTCTATAATAATAGATATAAAAGGTTGCTAAATTCTCCTAATCCAAAACACATAGTCAAGGTGCTAAAGGGATTTATCATAGAGAAATCTAAGAGTAAATCCTTACCTTTGTCACATAACATAAATCTCTTTAAGGACATATGTCTTATGATATAAGATGAGAGAGATCACATGGATAGAATACAATGTGCTTAAGCAACTGGATCTATCATAAATGAATGCCATGTAGTAGACTGGATGTTTTCTAGTGAATGGAGAGGCCAAACACTAAGTAAAAGTTTCTTCAATGCTAGCTATCTATCCAACAAGGGTGATGCAAGTTATAGAGTTGTTAGTTGGAAAAAGTTCCAAATAAGAGATGATTGCAAATTCTTTGAAAAGGAGTTTCGGATCAAAAAGTTCATTACTAAACTTAGTATGGTTTTGAACATTGTTAAAAACAATGGAGCCATTGTGTACGTAAGAGAAACTAAGGTCCCATGACAATCCAAACATATATTAAGGTAGTACCACTTCATTATAAAGATATTCAAGAAAGTGGCTTAAAAGTATAGCAAGTTTTCGCTAAAGGATAATCTACCATATCCTTCTAAATATGCCATTATCCCATGATCGTCACATGGAAAGGGTTAGGTATTGGATACTAAGGGCAATTAGCATTAGTGTAAGTGAGAGATTGTTAATGTATGTTCTTTATCCACAAGTTCGTATATAATTACTATTACTTAATTACTTCATAAATAAAGTCCATAGAATGAAATATGCTTCACAAAATGAATTACAAAAGAGTTATAATTATGAGATCCTTATTGTGTAAAAACATTATTCTTAAATTTTTCTTAGTCGATGCTTTATCAAAAATTAGATATTGATAAAAGCTGTTGAGATTGATACATGTTTATACTCTTACTTGTAAAGTAAACAACTGATTCCATAAGTTGAAGTATAAATATACTTGAGCTAAATATGTAGGTGCTTGTTACAATAACAAATACACTGAACATGATTGAAATAGGAATGCTATGGCAATATTCTTCTGCATAACTGATTCTTTGACTTGAGATCACTATCTAGTTTGTATAATACATGGTATACATTTTTACCATTCCTACATAGTCCTAACTAAGGATGCTCAATATGGTGGTATTAGATATAACATGAAATCATATGGGGATAGAGGAATGATCAAGATAGGGTTCATCAACCTAAGTGATCGACGAATATCTCATTATTCTTGAGAAAGAGTAACTCATGAAATGTTTAGATAGAGTGGAATGAAGTTTTTAGAATATTCAAAATTCATTCAAAGGGCTTTGGCTGAATGCATATAGAATAGACATTAAGCCATATTCTAGCTCTTACGAGATATGGTGATGAAATAAATGAATTATGAACTTCTAGACTCTTCTTAACATTTGGATGGTCAGTGACATATTGTTAGATGTCAATCTTGATTTTAAATATCTATTGATTAATTAGAGAATGAATGATGAATGCAAATGGGTTTGATTCATCTAATTCTAATAAAATAAGAATTATCATATTTGTATTTATTGCCAACATATTAAGAACATAAGATAACACATTATAAGAATAATTAGGTAAGAAATTAAAATGGAAAAATCAAATTGAACTTGATTGAAATAAAGTTTGAAAGTTTAAGGATTTAACTGAATAAATTCAATAGCCTAAAACAGATAAAACTATAACCTATTAGGAATAGGGCTGCCAAATTGCTCCCCTTATTTAAAGAGGCATGACATCCGTCTTATGTTGATGCTAATGCAATTCTATTCTCTCATGAGTTGAGATAAGTTAGAAAAGCACAAGAGTCAACTTAGCAAGCACAAGTAGAAACCGGTACAGTCTCTCCCTCTTTTTTATTAAGGTTTTCTCATTAATTGTTTGTGTGATACCATTGGGGGCGCTAAACGTTTGGATGATTAAAGGTTTAGTACAAATTATCTAAACAATTTTTGGATAATTCATCCTAGTTGAAATCTACAATGACCGTAAGGTAAAATTCAAATTTTCTATATGTGCTAGAAATTTGTGTAAAATACAAAATGTGATCTTATTAGATCTGATGATTCATATATTTATATTGTATAAAATATTAAAATTCATATATTCATATTATATTTTATACAAAAATTACATATTATAATTTATGTTAACACGAAAATATAAAATATATTTTTTTAATTTTGTTAAGTTTATATATAGTTATTGTTAAAATTTTAAATCGAATTACGTTCGTATCTTATTTTCGTATCATATTTATGTTATGTCACGATGTCATATTGTAGATTGCTTAGTCTAATTCCAATGAAGTTAGAATTTTAAATTATGTTGCTTATACTATAATATTGCATGAGTAATTTCTGGCAAGTGGTTTTATTTGCACCATTTTTTTTACTCTCTACACCCAATTTTTTTTTTAATTTCTCTCAATGAAATTATTTAATTATCTTTCTTTAAAAAAATTTTAAAAGTTTTCACATATGCAAATCCGAAAGTTTTTAAATGCATATCTGATAAAATTTAATTTATCGGATATACATATCTAGTAATTTATACAACTTATCGAAAATACATATCCAATAAATTATTTGATTTACCAAATATGGATGTTCAAAATTTTTAAAAATATAAAAAGATTAAACAATTTCTCTTATAATAAATCTTTTAAAAAATTAAATGAAAACGTATTTAGAAATCCCCTTTTCGAGCACTATAGTCATCTTTCTTAAAATATGAGCAGGCTCTACTCAAGGAAACTATGTGGTTCCTTTTATGAAATCTTTTGGCACTTGAAAAATGAGATGAGATAGGAGAGAAAGTAACTAGAGGGAAAAAAAAATGAGACTTTAGGTGAGAAAATAATATATATATACACATATATATATATATATGAAAATTGACAATAACAAAGTTAAAACGAAAATATTGTATTAAAAGTTAAAAAAAAAAACAAAAATATGATTTATGCAGATTTTCGATTTTATTTCCCATTTTTTTCTCTTTTATTTTTCTTTTATAATTACTTTGAAAATATTTATAATTTATAATAAATTGAAAAAAAAATTTGATCAATCAATTTACCTTTTATTCATCTTCATAAAAACTATAACTTTTACACATAATATAAAACTTTTTTATTTTGTTATTAAAAATTTTACATCTGCGACAACACAGGCATTTATTAGTAATATAATAAAACCTTTAATAATGCTTTTATTTATTTTATATTAATTTCAATCTTTTTATATTATGGTGTAACTATTTGTTTAAAATATTTCATACAAAAAATTTATTTTTTTCAGTATTTTATATATTTTTTCAAACTTTTTATTTTTTTAACATAACTATTTATTGAATTTGTTAAGTGTTTAATATTTAATTAAGCATGTTTAAATTTATTAGCATCTCATAATAAATTTAGTTTTATTTTAAGTTATAATTTAATATATAATTTTTACCATAAATTATTTTATTTATACATGTATGTCAGTCAAAAACATTGTTTCTGAAAATATAAAATTCTTACTTTCAACAATTAAAAAAAAAATTTCGTTTTAAATTTTCAAAAATAAAAACATTTTACAAATATGTTTATGTGATTGTTAAAAAAAAAAAAAAATAAAAAACAAAAACAAAAAAGACAATAAAAAACAAACGTTACCGAAACTTGGGACCTTAGCTTCAGCCCTTAAAAAGGCTTTTGAAAGGATAAAAAGAACAGAAAACCAGTAAACTGCATTCTTGACTTGGCAAAGAACAACAAAGGTAAAGACAGATGATTATGCAATCCCAGCAGTATTATTATGTTAGAATGGTAACATAATACATATCTCGATCAGGTCCGCAACAGAGACTCGGATGTTCTTCACATCCTATAACCCAAGTAGCCTTAGCATGAGAAAAATGATTAAGATATTCAGGCTGTCTTCTTTTCCCCAAAAAGTAAGCTCAACGAGTAGGTGTTGCGTTTCTGTTCAGCAGCTTCTACACGACGCCCTCCAACCTGGAACTTATTTGCATTACTAACAGTTTAATTGTAATTACTAATGTCATGGGGTCTATACAAAAAACTTTTAAAATGAAAACTTTTGGACCCATCAAAATACAAAGACAATGGTGTGAGGGATCAACAGACTGAAATACAGAGGATACCTTGTCCATAAGCCAATAGCCAATTGTGGGCATGTACTGCACCAGATACATTACTGCGAGTACAGGCTGAAGAAAAGAAACCCAGAACATGTAAATTTGTTGTTATCTACTATTTGGCCAAGATTAAAACAATCAATGAACTTAAACATGAAAGACAACATAACATGCAAACATGTGTATCAGAGCAGGCATAATGAGAAGGTTAGACAAGAATGATGTAGACAACCAGTCTCGTGTATGAAGACTAGATGTTCCACTTAAAACTTAAAAGTGAAGAGTGACTTTCCCAAAACTCCATTATTTGCAAGTATATGTTCCATGTATCTTGCTCTTGCAGTGAGTCACAAAATAATGGATTATATTAAGTTTAAAATTCAAAAAAAATAAATTAAAAATATCAACAGTTAGATATATACATGAGTAACATCTTGATATCAAATGTTAGGAACAATAGTTTTTATTTTAAAACATTTTCATTTGAAAAGCATCTTTTTATTAATAAGATAGAACTATTTTCTCCATTATCATATGAATAAAGATGATAAAAATGATCTATCGATTATGATTATATTGCACTAGAAATAAAAATCCTAATTTGCAAGGATTATTGAAGATTATAATTTTGGTTCAAACATGATGAGAGAAAAACGAATTTCAAAAATGGTTCACACTAAGATATTAAGTTAATCAAAGGATATAGGCAAATAAATCTCCAAAAGCAAACAAACAAAAAAAATGCAATAGTAAACCATAAAGAATTTATCAATAAAAATTGAGAAAGAAAAAGAAAAGGGCAGCATGACACATGAAGGGATTGTGAAGGTTATACTTGAAAGCCTATTTGTAGAAGGAGAAAATTAATGGATTGGACTCTTTAGAAAAAAAAGCTAAGTGAGAGAATGTAGGAACTTTAAGAAAGGATAGAAACTTTATAAATTATATTGTGTTTGATGTCTTTATCCTTTCTCCTTTATTTAATTTTAATTTCAAGTTTAATCGTGCTTAAATTTTATATATTCATTTTCGTTTTCCCAAAGTACTTATTCAACATTAATTTTGGAGAATTTTGGAGTCATTCTTATCTACCCACCCTCCTGGATTGTTTATCTAGACTAGAGATAACATAGGCCTTCATCAATTGATTAAACTGTATGCAAAATACTTCTGAGTTGTAAGGATTGATACATAACTAAGAAAGATCCTCATTCAAAATAATGAAATATACAAGTGACAAGGAATTAAACTACTATGTTAATACCTGGTATGATATCCAAACTTCCTTTAAACCATGAGAGGCAGCAATTATTGTGAGTTCCGCACACCTTTCTGCTGACACACGCTTCTATCGAGAAAAAGACAACAAGATATTAGAAAAAATTATGTCCACTAATTAAATCCTAAAAATGTTTTAGGCAGGTGCTGCACAGTACTAATTCACTATTTAAGGACATGAACACATAGAAAAGGATTTCTTGTTTGTATGAAAAGGTATTTAAGAACCTTCATCTCCTTGTTATATGGTACAATACACCAAAAAGGGGGAAAAAACTAGCTTTTATACGAAGTTAGTGCTGACAATAAATTGGCAGTATTGGGCTCTCAAACATTCAGATTGTTACTTAATTGAAGAATATTTTGATAACCAAAAAAAAAAAACTGTGTAAAAAATTTTTCTGTCCAATTAGCTACATGATTTTACAACCATAGGGAACACACCTCAGAGGAAACCTTTGCTCCAGAAGTTGTTGCTCCAGAACCATTTGATGTTTCTATTGGCCCCGGACAAACAACAGTAACCTTGATACCTTTCTGACAAAGCTGCATGTCAGAAAATAAAAGACAAAATGGAAAGAATAAGAGAATAAGAGAGAAGAAGAAAGAAAAAACATGCAGCAGACAGATGGCCATTAGAAAATAAAGCATAAGTTAAGGCATATGTTTAATTCTAGCTGACGACTTCCATACTAACTATACAACCAGACTTTTTTTTTTTTGGCTCAGAAAATGGAGTCATCCAAACTTTATAACCTAACAATCATGTAAAAATAATAAAACAGTAAGCCTTTGAGCATCATGATACCTTAAGTTGTTATTGATACTAAACCAACTTTACCTTATAAAATGATGAAGACCCCTTGCTTTTCCCAGCTAAAAGGTACATCATGAAAACCCCTATGAGGATAGATTAAAATACGTTTTCATCCTTTTCTGGAATAGACATGCCCCTTCCCCACATTTCATGGAGGTAAGTGGAAAAAAATTGGTCACATGAGCTATTGGACCTTTAATATAAACTCCATCAGGCTTTTTAAGTTCCTAAAAACAAGGAATCTGAAACGACTTCACTTCTGATAAACTAGGGAACCTTCAAAAGAATACTAGGAATGGCCAACTCAAATCCCAAGTTGCAGTCAGAACACTCAAAGCCAAAAACTTCTCCAAAAAAGCACTTACAACAAACTATGATGCCATAACCACAAATCTTGAAACAAATTCCTACATAAGCAAAATTCTTATTGCAATTATACTATAAACACAATGTAACATCACAGTTGAACCCTCTGAGATTCTGGGCTTGCTCACGTTACTAGGATTCTCAACTGCAATCATTTTTAAACTGCCCTCCTTCCCACTCCTAGACTTGAAAAGTATCAATCAATTCAATAAGAACCATTAGAATTTACTCTGTTAGATGCAAAACAAAGAACACATTTCCAATTAAAGAACCTCCAGATTCAGAAGACTGCAAAGAGCAGATTCAAGTTTGCAAAAAATATACTCAGCGGGTAACCCAGAGAAGCAAAAGATAAAATGGTCCAGACTACAAGACCTTTATTCTTCAAATACAAAATTAGTTGTATATCACGTAGAATTCACCAAATTCAGCAGCCTCCATCAAAATTACCCCAAGGACTAACAAATCCTAGGATATTTAAACTTTTCTTGTATACTTAAGACAAAACTATATAAAACTATTCAATGGAATATCATCTCCTTATACTGCCTGATACATCTACCACATAACTGAAAAATATATAGAACCCATATTAAAACCTCAAAAAGGATGAAAATAATCTAAGTGGCACCCTTACATAAATAGCTCAAACACATAAGACGAAACTGAAATGAATATACCAAATAACTCTCTTAACCCTATCAAATTACATAATAACTTTCACCTTTCACATACGAATTTGTTTATGCTAAATAATAATTTCCCTAAGCAACGATAGATAGAAAATCCATGAAATCCATTTCAGAAGCACTATTCAGAAAAGGGCTACATTACTTTCCATATTTACCAGACTCAATGCCTAGTAATTTTAAGCCTTCTAAAAGGAGTATTACTTTCGTTCTTTTATTGTCTTTTCTCTTAACTCCTGGTTCCAACCTAAGTCGGGATTACTCCCTAACTCAGAATATATACTAAAAGCATGTTTGTATCCTGCAACAAGAGAATCAAAAGGTGATGAGATGTTTTCTTTTCTGATCAGGAAACATGCTATATATATACCTCAGAACGCAAGGTATGAAAGTATCCATTTAAAGCATATTTAGAAGCAGAGTACACTGCCTGACCAGGTGCAGGTGTCTTTCCAGCAGCACTGCTCATCTGCACAAAATGTGCAATCAAACCAAATATTAATATCAATACAAAAGATAAAAACAAAAAGCAAAGGAAACAATATAATCTCTACTTTCAGCCCTTGAAAACTCAAGGCACATGCCCAGCTACATATATGACGCTAAGAAACTGGAGAGCAGATAGAAAAAAAGTAGTCAATATTACAACCTAATGTGAAAAAATAGCGATCAAACTTACAGCATGTAGCATCTAATCAACCAATTCATTTTCCCAGAAGTATAAAGTCATGGTACATGCCCCAAAAATATCATTAATTCATCCGATATTTTTTATGGAGTGAAACAAGTGACCCTACATAACTCCTTTTCTTACAATAAAAAAATTGCAATTTGCTATTGATGAAAGAATCATTCAGCTCCACGTACCACAACAAAGTGACCTCTTCCTCTCCTCAGCATAAAAGGTGTCAGTAGCCGTGTGAGACATATTGTTCCAAATACATTGACATTGAATGTAGCCTAGTAGCAAGAAAAAGAATTAAATGTTTACTTTTGTAAAGGCAACTGGCAGAAACCCACACATATTGTCCGCATGTAATGTTCCATGATACCTAGACTGAACATGTGAATTTACCCAGCAAAGCTATGACCACTTGAATGGCTGCAGTAGATAGAGTTCAAATAAATTAACTAAGTCTAACAATTTCTACAGCCCAAGGACTCCCCAATACCTTAAGACTTTCCTCTGTTACATCCAAAGCTGTTGTTTTCTGCAATCATTACAATAAATAAACAAGTAAATAAACATTGAAAAAACAGTAATCAGTTACACTATGCTCAAGGTGCAACTTTTCAAATAAACAGCTATGAACTATCTCTAGAAATATTATAGCAAAATATCATGTAATGACAACCATACAGATTAGTCTGCAAGAGTTCGAAAATACATGAGATGGTAGCAACAGAAAGGTGATTTGTCATTATTAAAGCACAAACCATCCCAGTGCTACAATCATTGAAATTGAATGCTAGAACATTATAACCCTAAAGAGTTGAACTGAATCCACAAGCAATTGGTGTCTAAATACCGGGAGGAAACATTTCCCCTACAGATTGAAGATGTCGACTTTCTGACAGGAAAGAGGAATGTAGCATCTCTACATTCTTACTCCAAAAGCAAAGGGATTGCACAATCTGACCACAAAATTAAGTGTCACATCAATTTATGCTTAAGGAGTAAGGAGAAGCAGTTTTTCCGCAATAGTTCATAGGATATGCTTAGGAATTGCAAAAAGCCGTTACCTTACTGTTTTCATCCCTCCCTGATCAGAAAGCAGCAGGTTTTTTGTTTGAAAAATAGGGCAAATTTTATGTTTTAAAAAAAAAAAAGTTCAACTTAGGTTGGGGGCAGTTTTAGGCCAACCTGTCCCAGGGTATATACAAAATTAATATATATTTTTTATTTATTTCCTTTTCTATTTATATGTGTGTGTTTATATTAATAAATTGTTTTTTTTAAGTGTTAATTATGAGAATAACTTAACAATATAATACATTTATATGCAAAAGGATATAATCTATATTAAAAATGATTTTTTTTCATGAAATTGTTCTAAAATAAATTTAAGGACTCAGAAATGGGTTGTACATATATATTTTGGGTCAAGATTGAGAATTGAAAATAACAACCAGTGTTGGCTCAGGTGGGAAAAAACCGTTGTGCTCTGCCAGTTCCCATCCCTAGTCATGCTCAAGAGAAGTAACAAAATTTTGAGGAGCACTTAACACGCTAAGGAGTTGCCATCAAAAGAACTTTGGAAGATGTTACAGCGATATTTGTTACACCTAGTTAGTAAACACTACACAGGGAGTAGGAGTTGTTAAGAATGGGAATGAAGATACCCTTGAAGAGAATGGTTGATGCACAGCTGATGTGGACCTTTACTTATATTGTTCTCCCATTTTGCTATACAAAGACTAGATAGTTCAACTTAAGGTAGACATTGATTAGAAGATGATACCAAGAAATAAGGGTGAGCATTTGTCACTTTGATACTGCAGAAGAATCTATCAAGTAAAGTATTTATTACATCAAGAGCTGGTGTGAGAAAAGGCATTAACATATTTTTCAAAGTTAGTAAAAATTATCAACAGATGAAAACAAAATGAACTGCTTCAAAGATCAAGAAGCCTCTAAAGTGAAAGGTTTGAAAGGCAAATAGCTTTAAGAAACATTGTATGCTGATAAATAAGTAAATACAAGGCAGAATACAATAAGAATTTCTATTATTTTCTAATAATATTAGTCAAATTTTCAATTATTGCCCCCTTCCAACAAAATAAGAATGGGAAAAAGGCAATGTAAGAAACAACTCGTGCATACATCTCAGCTACTGACTTAGGCTCCATTTGCTACATGCTTTTGCATTATGATTTTAAAAAAAAAAAATGAATAGAAAGGAAAAACCAAAAAATTTTTAAAAAAATGAATAGAAAACCAAAGAAAAATAGAAAAAAAAAAGAAGAAAAAGAAAAGCCAAAGAATCTATCAGACGGAGCCTTATTTAATTTCAGTACTATACTTCACACTTTTCTAAGAACTGTGGTGGTCATTAGAAAACAATTAATTCAATGAATATATTCTGTCCAGCAGTTTACAAGACCAATGAAATTAGGTTGTGCTCACTTACAGGACGCTCATAAGCTGCATTATGGATCATATAGTCAACACCAACACCAGCAAACAAGGATTCTGCTTTCTCTACAACTTCCTTGAGTGAATCTTCTCCAGATGTCAAATCAAGGGGCAAAATTTTCACTTGTTCAGGTGCATATTTACCTGCAAGCATACTGATCTTATATATTAAAGAGTGTGGTAACTCAGCAAAAATTAAAATAAAATGTTATAAAAGGAACTTAGAAGAATGCAATCTTGGACCCAGCCTCAGGCGTACCAGTAAGTTGTTTCCTAACTCGCTCCAATTCAGCCTCATTTCGTGCTGAAAGAATTAGCTTGGCCCCTAAACTTGCCAATTGTTTAGCAAGAATTTCTCCTAAACCCACCATTATTAAAACAAAATGTGTCATAAATGTGAAATGACAACTTGAATCAAATGCAAAACAATTGAAAGAAAAATGTATGCCACATCACGGAAGACAGGTAGCTCAATCAAAAAAGGGAGAAACATGACTCAAAAACTCCTCAAAGGCTAAAGCTATCTATAGAGTCTACCTCTAAAATGTTAGGGCATGTTAATAATTGCAATATTCCAGATAAGCCTCATCGTCATGTAATACAATGTGGGTGAAAACAGTGTTCATGAAATTGAAACATTAAACAAGATGAAAAAAATAGACATCTTCATTTCCTCAAGGGGATAAAAGCATGTAGGATTTGTCAAATGTTTTTGAAAGCAAGCAGCTTCACTTGTCACAGCTATACTACAAAATATGACATAATTCTTGATTTTAACTTGGTGTGTGAGCATTCTGTCAATAACAGGTTATCTTCCATGAACTATAGACAATGTCCACATGTTTACATCTAGGCACTAGTGTGCATCCTCAAAACCCACATTGAAATGAAGAGGCACATGTTTATATAGCCATTTAATTAAGCATGCTATTCTATTTTGAAGGAAAAGCATGAATTTTCGCACCACCAAAATGCACTTCTAATGTGCAAGATTTAAGTTATGATTGATCTATCTATTAAGCCTTTTTTTTAGCTTAGGTAGGCAATTCAAGATGCCAGAAACACTCCCTTCACATAGCTGCTACCTTTATTGGGGCATCATTGACCAAAGAGATAAACTTATGTATTTATTTGAACAGTTCTGAAGATACTCACCAACTGACCCAGCAGTAACATGTTGCATTTAGGTTTGGCATTACCTCAAACCACCTATGCTGATCTTTTCTTTTGGCACTTTTTGTTAAGTACACCATGACAAAAAATTGACCAGCACTGAATTGCAATTCAAAGTCTTGAACTATTAGTCCATTACTATAGACCAGCAGATTAGGTGACTTCATTTGAACCATATAGTTCCATTACTACTTAGTATCAATGAGAGTTAGTTATAAGATATTTCTCCCATATTTGGAAAAAGTTAAAATAACAAAAGAGGATAATAAACCATGAAGTTGCATAACATAAAACATTAAGAATCAAATTCAAGCACTTTTATCTAGTAAACTATATATGCTCTAAGTCCCTAAACCAATATAAAAATTAATAATTATCAAAGAAAAATAAATATTTATAAACAACCCCATAAACCAAATTGTAATGCATAAAATTTAATGAAGCAATTTCATAAACCCAAAATGAGTAGCGAAATTTACGAAATGAACAAATCTTTAAAAGAAAAAAAAAATGTAAACTAAATAAATATGAGTAGAAAATTTACCTATCCCACGGCTGGCTCCAGTAATCCAAACAACCTGTACAATTAACAGCAAAAAGAAACATATAAATACCCAAAATAAAAAAAGGTATACAAGAAACACTAAAAATTCAGAAAAAAATTGAATCACCTTATCTTCAATCTCTTCACGCTTTACATGCCTTTTTGAGAGTAAAGTAAAATCTCCTGAAGTGGATAAAAATTTCAAAAAAAAAAAAGGCAAAAATTTGATGGAATTAACACAAAAAGCAACCAAATATGTAAATAGAAAACATGTTAGGGTTCCTTAGAATATTTTACCATCAGAAATGGCAAACTTGAAAAGAACGGAGAGAAGAAGAAAAAGAAACAAGGAAATGAAGAAAAACGTCAGCATTTTCCCAGTGCAACTTTTAGCCGGTAAATACGATGCGATTACGCTTCGAATTTATAGGTTGATGACGGATTGCCTAGGTTAGCTACGGGCCAGAGCCAATGCCGGCCAGTCCCAATCATGGCAGACCCAACTTATCCGATTATTTCAAAACATTTTAACTTTCTTTTATTAATTTTGGATTCAGTGTGGTTAAAAGTCCGAATTAGGTCCTTCTGGTATCTCAATCAATCATGTTTTTGTCTTTTATTCCAATTTTAATTTTAATGAATTTAATCCATATATTTTTATTAAAAGTAAATTTAAGGACATTTGATAATAATATTAAGATTTTACCTTTAATTTAAATGACATAAAATTTTAGTAATTATCGACATTTTGAAGTGGATTAATTTTTTGTTTATCCGACACATATTAATTTTAAAATATCATATTTTATTTTAATTAAATAATAATTAATATTTTAAAAATTTATAAAGAACTTTTTGTATTTTTTAAAAATAAAGTTTTTTTCATTCTAATATGTGCGGTCAAAAAATTTAGATTAATACATTATATCATCAATAAAAAGAGGGCATAAAGTCAAATTTAATTGTAAAATTTTAATATAATTATCAAATTATACTTAAATTTACTTTCTTTATAAAACTAAAGGGATTAAATTCATTCAAACTACAAAAAAAAATCTACGCTTAGTATTATGGTTGATATTATGATTGGTTCTTAAATTATAGAAAAATATTTAATATAATATTTAAATTTAAAAAATTTTTAATATAATATCTAAATTATAAATTTATCAATTAAATTAATAGTTAGAAGGTTGTTTATCTATCATGTATCATCATTTGAAATTAATTATATTGAAGATAAATATCACATTAATTAATACTTAATATTTTTATAATTCAAATATTAATTAAAAATTTTTAAAATTTAAATACTGTTTCACTGTACTTTATAAATCATTCATGACATTAACCCTTATCACTATAAAAGAATACATTCTATAAAGCTTTCCTTACTTTTTAATTTCAATGTAAGCTTAACATATGTTAGAATACTAAATAGTTTCTTCATATTATAAATTCTAATAATAATTAAAACTTGTACAATGTTTCTGTAGCTCTGGGCTTAATATAATTGGTTTTCAATAAGATCAATAACTAAAAAAATAGCTAAAGGATTAAAAAAAATTATAAGCTATAATTAAAAAATCATCCGAGCTCTTATTTTATTATTACAATTAATCAACCCCTTCAATTTTTATTTGTATTTAATAAACTCTTATTTGAATGAAAAAGTTAACATCATGAAATTCTTGCCAATTAAAATAAAATTTTATATGATATTAATAATATATATTAAAATTTATTATATAACTAATTAATATATATGAAAATAAAATAAAATAATTTTTTTTCTCTCTCTCATCTTTTTCTAAGATCCCTTTAAAAGTTCAATTGATTATAATTCAAATATTGATTGATTAAATTTTAGCACGTAACTAGATTTCGTCTATTTAAAAGTTTAATTAAGTCAAAATAAAAAATAAAAAATTTAATTGATTATAATAAAATATTAAAAACTAAAATGATTATCGAATTATAATTTAATGACACTCTTAACCTTTTAACCCAAAAAAAAAAAAAAATAGAACACACATGTCTATCAATCCATAAACATTAATATGCCCATGCATAATTTATGTAGAGAACATTGTTTATTGTGGATCAAACCAACTTTCATGTCCTTTTGTTAGGTTACAACCACAATCACTAATGGATCTATATGTTGAAGCCTAAGGTGTCCATGATCAACCCCCAGAAATTGAAAAATAAAATATTTGAAAAAAAATTTCTTGTAGCCAACCCAAAATTTTTCCTTGGACATCATTTTCATTGGCAAAATTAATAAATTTATTAATAATTTTTTACATATATTATAAGTTGACACCCTTGAAAAGGTCATGAATCCATCATTGATCACAATTTTACTCTTTTTTGAAATACTTTACTAAAATTTATATTGTTCAGTCAACTAAAGTCAGTGGAGATGGTTTTTTTTTTAACATTTTTTTAGGAATAAATTTTTGGTAAGTATGGCTAATTGTCAGTGACCTTAGATTTTCTTATTATAGATAGGTTTGCTTGAAAATTGCTATTCCACAACCAGTAAATGTTATAAGAAAGCCTAATAACATTGGAAATTATATATAATTTGTAAGTGAAAAGTAAAAAAAAAAAAAAAAAAACTTGGAAGCAACTATAAATTATGTGTCATGAAAACTTAGCTGAAATACAAAATCTAATAATAAAACTATTAAAAAATGTAGTAAAATTTAAAACTATTTTCAGCAAACTTTCTCAAATATTAGAGGTTATAATCATATCTCTGTTATCTTCATATCTTTTACAAAGTAAGATAAATTAAGTAAAACTTTAAGAAAAATTTAAATATCAAATAAACATGCATCTTATGCAAGCAAAATCTTAGCTGTTCAAATAAAAGATCCTTGAAACATACCCCTAGGAATTGTCATTACAAAATTTTGAAAAACGTTCTCCTTTATATTCTTCCTTTCTCATGGCCTATAAATATGTGGCTTTTACCATCCATATTACCTATACCAGTTAATATAGCTGGAACATCATAGCCTGCACAATCTTCGTACCATTATAAGATAGTAAAAGAAAGTAACTTCGTATTCTTTTAGGTTTACATATATAAAAGTTAGGTATTATTGACATACTTTTTTTGTGATATTTAATATATGATTAAAAACTGTTAGTTTGTTGGATATCGAACAATAGTAAGGTGTTGAATATATGTCAAATTGGTGTATAAATCTTTTACAGATTGATGTTTAGAACAAAGAAAAAAAATTAAAATGTGTCAATAAAAGTAATTGTGGATTGCAAGTTTAGTGAGAATATTAAGTCAACAACAAAGGCCTATAGACAAAGGAGTCCAGACCGATCAGTGGGTTTCTCATTATTACAACTAATAAGCTAGGAGCCTAAAACAATGAATTTCATGCCTATATTTCAACAAAGGGCCAAAAAAAAAAAAAAAAAAACCTTGAACTTTGCTATTTCATTTAGATAAGCTTCTATAATTTTATTATACTAAAATAAGTCATTAACTTTTACTTTATACTCAAATAAGTTTTTAAATTTTAATTTGTATCCAATTAAGCCCTTAAGTTTTAATTTGTACTTAAATAAACCCTTAACATAAATCAATTTTTTTATTTGAAATAAGAGTTTACACGAATATAAATCAAATAATAATAATTTATTTAAGTATAACAAAAATATAAGGGTTTATCTAAGTAAAGTGATAAAGTTTAAAGGTCTTTTTAGTATTTTAGTTTTCAACAAAATAAATTGACAACTAGCAAAAAAAAAAAAACTTAGGGTTGCTTGGTATTATTGGCAGTTGCATGTTTTATGTTTATATTTTAAAAATTTTGTTTTATTTTATTTTCATTTTATTGAAATTGAAAACACATTTGGGAATTAATATTTTGTTATAGAATAGTAGCAAACAAAGGACCTCATGAAGAAGCAGTTAGGGGCATGGGTTATGAAAATGGCAATGATTTGAATTTAACAAATGGTAGTTTTGATGCTTATCTTTCAATTTTTTTTTTGGCATTTATAATTGATACTATTCATGCACGGGTGTTATTCGCCCATGTAATAACAGTGATGGAAATGTTTCTAAAATATTGGAAACATCGTTTTTCACTTCCAACAATATCCAAAATTTTATTTTCGATTTTTTGTTTTTAAAACAAAAACAACCTACCAAGTATAATTTTATTTCTAATTTCCAAAAAAAAAAAAAAAAAATATATAACACAAAATAAAAACATCTCCAAACAAACCCCCAGTTTTACATAACATAGAATTATGAAATTTGACACTCATAATGAAGGACAAAAGCAACTATAACAATGATTAAAAATAATCATGATATAATGGGGAAAATTTATTAAATTAATCTGTTGGTACTTGTTTTCCAAAGCTTCAATTTGATCAGTAAAATCCATATCATTTTTATCAACCAGTTTGCATACCCGCCAAAATATATATTTAATAAAAAAACTAAAGTTCTATAACAATATATAAAAGCAATCCCATTATCTATTAGAGGAACAGATTAGCAATGTCTAAAAAAAATAATTTAAGGGGTATTTTTGATATGGAAGAGGAGTTCAAGAAAGAGATGAGGAGGAAGGGATTTCTTTTCTTAAACTTTCCTCTTGCATCTTATGCCCTTTTTATTTCATTTTTCCCTTTCCCTTTCATTTTTCCATCTTTTCTTTATTTTTTTCCCTTTTAATCTAATCTCATCTTTGACCCTACTGGCAGTTACCTAGAATCTTCCATTCATTACCTTTGCTTCTTGATCAATTTTCTCTCTTAAAAACTTTTGGATCCTAAGCTTGTCGAGAAGGTAAGTCTTTACCTTGTATGTTCCCTTTTGTTTTTTTTAATTTCTCTTTAATTATTTCTTCATTTAATGAAATCTTAACAAACAAACAAAAAAATGAATGTAAATTTAAAGATATATTATAACATCTCAAAGAGAATTTACAGAGAGTTGGATGTATTATAACATTCGAGCCCCTTGATTTCCCCCTTATACGAGCCCCTCATTCTTTTACCTCATGCGACCTGCCACTTGACCTATGCAATCTGATTGGATTTTTTATGGTCTCCATCATTGGTATCTCCCTTTACAGCATAGCAGGCCTTTAGCATCTCCCTTTCCTCCCCTTTTGTCTTTTATTTTCATTAGGTTAAGGTTTTCAATATTTAGACTTTGTTTGGTTCCCTAACAAATTGATTTTATAATTTGTTCTCTATTTTTGTTGATTTGATAGGTCTCCATACTCAAGTAAAGGTAAATTTTCTATTATTCTAATTGAAATTCTCTTTTAATTTTTGACTCCTTTCTTAGTTCACTTTGTCTTTTGTTAGGCTATTGAAATTAGACAAAGTTTTGACTACTATAATTCTATTTATAAATCTTTTGAGGATTTGTTTGTCGCTAAAATTTTCTTGTGTAGAATTTTAGTACTCCCAATATGCACTTGCTCTCATTTCCCTTTATTCTTTTAGATATATAGTGTAAGGATGACAATATGTCCCTATCACTTAATGTTTCCTTTTTCATTCTTTTCTTTTTCATTTCGAATTTTTACTTAAAAAATTTTAAGTAATTTTATTTATTTAATATAATAAATAAA